TTAATGTCGAAATCGACTACTCATGCCAGACCGTTGACGGCTAGTGGTTGACAAAAGAGTGGTGGCAAAACGGACGTCTGCAGTGCAACGGGCAAGAGCACACACCCTTCATAAGGTGAAATGCGGGTTCGAGTCCCGGCTAACGCAACAGGTTCGCATGTCCCTCAACACCATTGTGTATATGTACAACTTTCATTCGAATATACCAGGCGACAGTGTCTGGTGTAACAACTGTGTGCGGCGGTAATCCTTCAAAAAGATTCAGCAACGTCTTTGATTTTTGATCCTACTGCTTTGCCGATATCTTGTGGTATCACCTCCGTCTATTTTCAAGCTTTCGTGCTGCTTTTATCGACTAAGAGGGAATTTGGAAATATCCACCCAATCCCGCAACTAATCTATCCCTGCTAGACATCTGCCATAGAGTCACTTATCGAAAATTGCATTCGCTCCTTGTCAAATCAACAACGGGTTCATCTACTTTCTAAATTGAGCTTTCTCAATGTTTCCTTCAACAAAAATCGCAGAATAATTCGTCGTACCACAATAATAAGCAACTCATCAAACAGACTTTTCTAGAATGCAAAAAGAGCTATGAAATCGCAGCTTTCTGAACTATAGTTGACTTTCGCATGTCTGGTAGAAAAGCTTTATACGGTGCAAATTTTAAGGGAGTAAGCGTGCATTCCAGAAAGTGCAGGTCGTCCCCAAAAAAAAATTTAGCGAAGGGTGACGTTTTGAGTGCACTTCTTCACTTTGAGTACTTCATTACCCGTCTTCATAACTTCTTTCAGTGTGCGGATACTACTTCTAGCATTCAGTTGTTTTCAAATATCCTTCTTGAATGTCGTAGAATACTGCTTGATCTCATCCCCTTGCAATCTAAAGGATAGCCAGGCTGTGGCGTTTTATAGGCGGTTCGTTGTTGACTACCGGAGATTGTTGGGGGTGGAGCTTTACTCCACTTGCGCCGCGACGGGCATCACAACCGCTCGGCTACGGCGGCTCTCTTGTAAAACAGAATGGAAAAATTAAGTAGCCCGCTTAGGTTCCGAGGAGGATGAAGTAGCCGAAATCGTATTCATGGAAAAAGAGGACCATACTCGCTTTAGCTTGGAGGAGTTTGACCTAACATGATACTGTTGACATTTTATGGTGATCTTTAGTGAGAATTCGTCTTTACACTCATATCTTTGTCTTTCACTAGGTTTCCCCTTCAACAATGCTATGCACTCATCCTACAGTGTCACCCCAATAGTTAGTGAACGGTGGGAAAATAGTGAGTTTCAATTATAATTTACGCACATCGTCTCTGTAGGCGACGTGCGCGAGATTTTTCATTCTTGAATTTTTCTGCATCACCTAGTTCTCTCCTGTCGAATATGGCGTCTTCTTTATGTTTTCCCCCGTGAAATAGATTATTTCGATGTCTACTCACATATTTTGGCCGATCACATCGTCTTCGTGGAGAATCGTAGCGGCACCGTTTTTTTTGTCAGGTTTAGGGAATTTGAAATGAGCTCTTCTCATCAGTCTCTTTTTTATTGCATATGTCTTTGTTGATGTTTTCGAACACGACTGCCGTTTTTTTAATCGCGCAGGACTCGCGTTGCTTCTGACAGCCAACTTATATGAGGCAAAAAATAGCTGGCAGCGAATGAGGTGGGATTATACGGGCTCGAGTCGAGTGCTTGCATTTGATCACGACATTGTTCTTTTTAATTTCTCTCCAGCCTTACATCGACCCTTCAAACGGTTGACGTTCGTGGACCTACAAGCGTGTCCAACTACTCCACTTGCTCCTCTCGATTAAGTGCCGACTACAGTTACTTTTCGTTGCAGGACCCACAGCTAAGTTTCGAAGTAATTCGCGCGCGGTTTGCGCCGGCGTATTGATTGCTGTTTCTTGATGTTGTGTGTGCAAGAGTGGTGTCAACATCAAGAATTAGCTGTCATTATGCCGGCGCAGCCGCACTTGAATCATCCCAAGACTTAGCTGTGGGTTTGCAGCGAATAGTAACTGTAGGCGGCGTCCGGTTGGGGCAGAGGAGGTAGGGTCGTGGCACACGTGCGTAGGTCCACGGAAGTCAGCCGATTGGTGCGAACGACAGGACTTTCCTCTACTCAAATTTATGTACCATCACAGTCCTTTTTCATCAATTAAATATTTCTGTTTTTTCTCTTTTGTATCAAGTAGAATATTTCGACGTTCATTTGAATATTTCGACAAATCAAACCGCATACAAAGAATTTCTGAAGACTATCGCGATTTCAGAGCGCATGTGGTGCACTGTTTAGAGATGCTCTGCTTCGCACACGAGGTCAGTGGTTCGATCTCGCACTCATGGCTCACCAAGCTGTCCATCCCTCTGAGGTCGACAAAAGGGTACCGGACTGGTCGCAGGTTGATTTAGGAGGATAAGCAGCTCTGATTTGGTTAAGCGAGAAGCCAATGAGCCATTGTAAAGGCCAGATAAAGCATTCAGTCACCTCAAACGAAGTTAGAAATTGAAGATGAATGCATGGCGCATCCCTTGGGGATTGATCTACGCCAAGAGCTTTATCCTTTAGTCTTTGGCCGCGAAATGGATAGCTTTCAGGAGTGCAACCGTTATAGTTAGTGCCTATATCTTGGTCATCTCTTTGCCAATGCTCCTGGATGTCTTTACTATGATGGTCATCGAGGTCGGGGCTCCTGTTGCCTTTGACAGCCACCTTTTATGAGGCAAAGCTGGCAGCGAATAAGATAAGTCACGCGTGTAGCACGTGTTTCACGGAGCAGTTGCTACTTCTCTGAGCAGTTCAGAGTGATCGTGAACGAGACTTGTGCTCAGGGACATCGCTGCGGGAGCTAACCAATGGTCACGCCGCCCGCTTCTGCGGGGCGGCAGTCAGTATCGAGTCGTGCTGGCGTCCTGGTCGGTCGTGTGTCCCCTTGCCTTACTCCGCCATCTTTCTTGCGTTTGGTTCTCCGCCTGTCCTCACTTTGAATTTCTGTTTCTGCTCTCGTACCTGTGTATGAGGTGATTGAGATCCATCTTGCCTCTGTCTTCGATTGATTGCTATCGTTCGTGCCTATTTGCGAGGCCTGTTACATTGTGAGCGGAACTTGCGGCTACGGCGGTGGACCAAGTCCTTTGGGGTTCTGCTCGGCCCGCCACCTGGGATGGGTTCAGTCCGCGCATATAGACCGCGAGATGCTTCCCGACGTATTTAATCACCCACTGGCTCCCACCTTCGGTGTATAGGTTTGCTCGGGGCAAGCATAACTGCATCCCGAGGTCCACCGCTTAGTCAAGCCCCGCAGACTATCAGTTCATCTCGCTCACTCATCAATCCTCAGCTCACATCGTTCCACTTTACCACTGCGCACTTAGTCATGTCGCAATATTATCGTAGTTACGGTTATGCGTCGATATTATTGTTATGTTCTTGTTGTGTTATTATTGTACTTATGCATATATTTTTAGGGTCTTATTATTCTCTATGATAAAACTAATATTCATTCGTGGCGTCAAGATCAGTAGCCGTCAGCGGCATCACTCATCAATCAATCAATTGATCAATTGATCAATCATAGCGGGAAAAAATGGCTGTCAGCTCAACTGGGTTTATAAAGCGAAATCGCATACCCGATCAAGCCTGTTAGAGGTTGGTGGCTGATAGCTAACATAGAGATGTTGAAGAATGAGTGATGGCGCAAATGTGACTCTGTGCTGTAGTGGTAGTAGCATGTGTCCCCGGTATGGATGAAACGCGGGTTTCACTCCCTCCTGAGGCTTTGTTTTTGCTCACCACTCAATTATCTTAGGTAGCTATGACGTCTTTTTTCATTTATCTTATGACTTGACGTAGGTGTCTACCAACTACGCTCACTACGAGTGCTTTTACGACAACTGTTACGTACCTCGCGTCAGTTAAATAGATGAAGTCTTCAAGATTTACTTAAATTAGTCACCAATGCCATAACTCATAGAAGGTCGGTCTTCTAAATTATCGAAAGTGAATTCTATTCATTGCGGTATAGGATAATGAATAATGAATGGTTGATTTTCTATTTTTCCATTCACTTTGTTCATTATTTAGCGTTTCTATTACTCCATTTGATATTTGTTTTAGTCGACTGCTTTTGAAAATCTTCACGAAGACATATATTATATATGTATATGCATATGTATGTAAGCTTGCATGTGCTTATGCATATATACATATATGAGCATGTATACATATATATATATATATATATATATAAACTTCAAAAATATTTCTAGCCTTTTCGAGGTTGTAACGTTACAATCTGACGACCTTTCAGGCACTTATACAGTGCTAGACGCGTGTTTCGGCATTACCGCCTCATCAGGAGCACGGTGCCTTTCGCTTAACATAGTTCCTTGCGCGAGATATACTCCATACATATGAAGAAGTCGACGCCGAATCATTTACAAAATCACCGCATGTCAGGTGATCAATCCCTCGATATTGTAATGATCGACAGCCGAGCACTCATGACTGATTTAATGAATTATACCGCCGTCCATAAACGCAGTCGAACGTAAAGGTAAAATCATGATATGTCTGGGGATGTATGATTGTGATGCATGGCGCGAGGCTGATTCCTGTGTGCAATATTTCCGGCATTCAAAGACCAACGCCTTACAGAATACCTAAGCCTGACTATCCTAGAGATTGCAAAAAGACGTGCTCGACCAGTATTTTATTACATTGATGAAGAAGACGAAAAAACGAATTGAATTCTAGAAGTGCTGAAGTTCCCACGGTGAAAAGATGTGTTACTGAACAAACAGTGACAAATAAATATTATTGTACGTCTAGACTCTGAGGAAGGCGAGATCTCCAAAGCGTCATCTATTGAATCTGAGATAGAAGAGTACTGTTCTGGCGTTAACTTGAAAAAAGTAGGGTTGTGAAATACGAATGACTATCTCAACGAGTTACTGGCATATAGGTGCACGTATCGTGGTAGTGCTGGCAAAGCAGGCGCTGGTAGTGCAGCGTGTTAGAGCACGCGCCCCTAGACAGGGTGAAATGCGGGTTCGTGTCCCGTTTGAAGCAAAACGTTTTGCACATCGCTCTACATCATTTGAGATCTTTATGTTAACGTTGAGTCAAAGCTGGTTATTTAGCTCTTCTTTTTGGTCTTATAGTAGGTTTTCTGACAATCTATGCTACATGCGCGTTTTACAATGTCAGCACAGAGTAATCAGTGAGTAGAAAGTGCGATTCATGGCGTCACCGCGTTTCTTTTTCTGTATAGTGATTAATTGCCTTTCTCTCCCTCGATGTTGATTCGCAAATTCTGATGGATCAAAGCGTTCGGAGAGAACTCAGGAGATTATTGCATTTTGAATAGTTCTAGGGAAATTGGGCTGTTTTGCTGGTGTACTTTATCGGTTATCCCTCTGTCGGTGTTTTCGGACCCAGTTACTATGTTCCTAATCGGAGTAGGTGCTCCTTTCTAAAAACCAGTTTCTCAAAGGCAAAATACAGCTGGCACAAATGCGACGCGATCATTCCGTGTTCATTGTGGCTGTTATTTGTGATATGCAAGTTTTGAACCTTGCACGAGATTTGAATCCGCATTCTAATCTTTCCGGGAAGCGTGCTTACCACTTGCACTATTGACTGTCCACCACTCTTTCTACGCTACAACGCTTCTATTTGCACGGGTGATCGGTATCGACATTGAACCCAGTCACGCTGAGAGATATTGGGTATTGAATGATCAAATAGAATTTTTATTTAGCCGCTTTTTGCGTTGTCATGATGTTACAAATATACCCAGCGATGCAGAGTGGTGTGCAGAACTTTGGCGTAGACGGAACCCACATCTCACTCTATCTGGGAACGCGTGCTCTAACCCGTTGCACTACTGACGCACATTTTTCCCATCACTTTACGCTACAATGCTTCTATATGTCTGCCGCCAATCGTGTCAACGATATGGCACGGGTAGTCGGTATCGACATTGAACATAGTCACTCTGCATCACAGAGTATATTTGTATTATCATGACACCGCAAAAGCGGTTAAATAAGGATTTCTATTTGATCATTCAATACCTAATATCTGGCAGCATGACTGGGTTCAGTGTCGATACCGACTATCCGTGGCATCCTCTTGACGGTTGGTGGTTGACAGATGGATGCGCTGTAGCGTAGAAAAAGTGGTGGGCAAAATGGGCGCCAGTACAACGGGTTAGAGCGCGATCTTCCGCATAGAGTGAGATGTGGGTTCGAGTCCGCCTGACGCAGAAGTCTTGCACATCATTCTGCATTGCTGTCTATCTATGTTTTTTATGCAAAAAATATTCTATACTGAAGATTTTATAAGGCTTTGAAGGTGACGACTTTTGTACCTAAAGAACGCCATTGGCAAGAACTTGGCCTGATTCATTAACCAGAGATATTTAAAAACTGCATGATTTTGGTTCAGCTCAACTGCGCATCGCATTTTTTTGATAAACGTTTTCGCTTAAAGATGCATGATCTTGCTCTAAGAATGAGCTGCCGTGAGAACGAATTCGCTTGCTACTTCTGCACGAGTGACGCATATGGAAAGTGCTAAGGCAGCGGCGGGCAAAATTGATGCTTCCTGTGGTTGGTGTAAGATCAACTGATTCTTTGGATTCCTCCTAACTATTCTCTCCCGCTTCAAACACTGCGATCCTCTTTCTAGCCGTCCTTTCTGCAACATCGTCGCATCGCCTAAGCTGCATTAGTCATCCATATTTCGCAGTTTTACTGCATGATAACGCTCGACCTCATGCTGCTGAAAAGAGATTGAAACCGTCATAAGAAAGCTGACGTGGGAGGCCGTAGAAAATCTTACCTACCCGCCTTACTCTTCCAACATTGCACCATTTGAATAGAACACTTAAAATTACATAGTTAAAGTTACAAGTTAGGAAATTTTAGGAAACAACGTTCTTCGGGTGCGGAAATCAGCATCTTCCAAAAACCTATGAAAATCATCTCATAAGATATGTTGTTTCAACATTTAAATAAATAGCGTCTTTAACGCACCTCCAAGCAAAAAATAATATGCATTTCTTTAGCTCCATTATCACTACAGCAAAAAAAGCCGTGGAGTTATATTCGCACACCTAATAGTGTGCTCCAGTTGCTTTTGGCAACCAATTTCTCCTAGGCAAAGACGGATGGCACGAGGGGACACGGTCATTCTGTGTCTGATTTGATTGTTATTTGTGATAATCAGACTGTGAACGTCAGACGAGAATCGAACTCGTATTTCGTCCCTTTCTAAAGAAGCGTGCTATGCAACTGCACCACCGGCGCTCGTATTTTGCCCTTATACATTCTCCAGAAGAGCGCATTATAACGTAATGGGATCAACGGCAATTTGCACTTGCCAAGCTAAGTTGTTCACGCTCAGTTGCTATCAGATCGATGCGTTTTATCGAAGAATGAATGATGGAAGAAACTGGAGTATCGGTAATACAATTGGTTAGCATGTGCGCCCAGAAAGGCAAAATGAGCGTTCGGTTCCCGTCTGGCGTTCAAAATTTGCACATCGCTCAGCATTAGAGTATATATGACATAATATCACCTCTAAATAACAGTTAATTAAAAAAATTTCTATTTGTCCGCATTTGAATTCTTTTGCGCTTTGCAACAGGGATGAGTGGAAGTGCGCCAAGCTAACGAACTAGCGACATGGTCGCTTTAACCCTCTGACTTCCACGGAGCCACTCTCAACTGCAGCACAGAACTTACATCCAGAATCTTAGCCTCCACGTAGTTCGTAGTGGGTTTGTCAGATTCACCTAATTATTATGAAGCGACGACGCACCTCCTAATCTTCTAGAATGTGAGCTTTTACATGATCTTAGTAGTGTCATCGATTAAGTTATAGTGCATTTTTCGTAATGTTAAGGTGTTTCATGTCTCCATAAGAAAATTTAATGGTGAGAAAAGTAAGACTTCAGGCGGAAGTCGCCGTTTCATCCAGACATCATAAAACTACGAAAAATGCAGTAAAATACTAGGAATTTCGAGTATTAGTGATTACAGTAGATGTCAGCTCAACTGGGTTCATAAAGCGAAATCGCATACCCGACCAAACCTGTTAAAGGTTAGTGGTTGATAGCTGACATATTGATGTTGAAGAATGAATGGTGGAGCGAATGTGTCTCGGTGGCGTAGTGGTAGCACGCGTCCCCAGTATGGACGAAACGTGGGTTCGACTCTCGTCTGAGTTCTAATTTTTGCTCACCACTCAGTTCTCTTAGGTATATACAAAATATCACAACACTGCGAAAAAAGCAGTAAAAACGCAGAGAATTTCATAGAAGTGTTGATGACCATTCTAAAGCGGATATTTCAGGTTGCAGCCTCCATGTCGCCAGTTTTCGAAATGTCTTTTTCTGACGTGGTTACAAGAAGCGATTTCTTGCATTGCATACTTGCATATTTGTCTCTGGATAGATCTTTTTCTTAGAACTATTAGTGAACATTCGATAGCTCAATCGTTCCTGATTTCAACGCTGTGATTATGTTCTGAAAAGAGCTTTCTATGAAACGCAACAAGTAAAATATTTTGAATTTCCATCTGCGATCAAGGTGGTCTTTGGCCAGTTCACCGGCCACTGGCTGAGGCAGCAGTGGGGGCTGCGCAATTATCGATCAAAATCCGGCCGGTCTTATGCTGATGCGGTCTTTGTTATTTTTTTAGGAATTGTTCCATTGCTCAAAAAAAAACTCCATATAAATCGTACGACTTTGCTACAGAATGAATCCAAATACTTTTATTTCAACGTGAACACGATTAAATCAATCATCATTATGACCAGTATAGTGGAATTTAGGAGGCCAGAACGTCCTAATTGCTTCCATGCTTCCAACCGTGACTCTAAGGCGTTTAGATACTGGGAGATCTTCCTAGACATTCATTTGCTCGAAAATCGATCGATGTCGCCTCAGCCAACCTTGCTGCCACACCCAGCAACCGGTAACCTAGTCAAAGACCACCTTGCTCGCGCATGTGAATCAATCTTATTTTCCCTAATGTGTTTCAGATGAACGGCCTTTTCAGGATATGAGCACGGCGTTGAAATAAGAAACGGTACGTTATCGAATGATTATTAGTAGACCAAAGATTGAGCTCTGTCCCACGAGAATTATACACGTCTGAGACATACTCTTGTGTGCATTTTGCAGCACTATAAAAGTGTGTGCTGACAAACTGGTCATGTGGAGTTTTAGCCAAAAATCAAAGCCTTCGAATAATTACTAATCTCATGAAAGCTTCCACCTCTGCGAATGAGGTCGGTTTCATATTTGTCCCTCTATGATCAGAAAGAATCTTGTGGTATGTGGTTGATCATCTTCCCAACACTCGCTGACAGTCAATCAGCGAACGACTTTCAAAAAAGCCTTTCCCAGCATTCGCCCGGGATACCGAGTTTGCAAGGAGATAAACGTGGCCAATAGTTCAAACCTTTCATAAAAAGATGAAATCCTTAAGCAGTAATTGCAACTGCTTGTGAAACAATAAGAATTTGGCTCAAATAATAATGAAAGGATCTATTGAAATTTGAGCGTGGTCTTAATAAAGCACTCGAAGGAAAGGTATAAGAATTTGTATTATCCATCCGCCTATTGCAACGGTTCAGCACGCGCTCCCTGAAAGAGTGAGATCTGGGTTTGAATCCCAACTGATACAAATGTTTTTGCACACCACTCTAAATTATTGAGCTTGTCAAACATTTGGAGACGTTTGCACGAGATACATGCGAGGTGACGAGCTGATTGCTATTTCCTGAAGAAGGCGAAGTAGCCTGAACATGGGTCATCATATTTAGTTATAATACCCTCTTCGCGTTGGCTTAGAATAAAATGAGACATGATCCTGTTATTTACTCATGGTGACGTTGAGGCAAAATTGGTCTTTCCACTCATTTCTTATATCAGATTCCTCGTCCGTCTATGCCATATGCCCGTCTTATAATGCCAACTCAATGCTCAGTCAGCGGTAGGAACAAAGTGCGCTTCAGCAATACTTTACAGGGCATCGTCCCTTTAGGCGGCGTGCGCGCGATTCCTCACCATCTAAACTTTGTACAGCATCTTATTTCTCTTCTATCTGAAACTGCGCTTTTTTCTTTTTCTTGTAAAATCAGATTTTCTATTTTCACTAGCATATTTTGACAGATCATGTCGCCTTCACGCAGAATCAAGAGATGTCGTTTCTTGGGCTTTTGTAAGGTATTCGAGCTCTTTTGATCCATCTTTTTTTTATCGAACTTGTCTTTGTCGGTGTTGACGGATGCAGTCACTATATGTTTATAATCCCAGTAGGTGTACCTGTTGTTTTTGATAGCCAACTTCTCAAAGGCAAAAGACAGCTGGCATTAATGAGACATGATCATTTCATGTTTGACTTGACTAGTAGGTGTGATTTGCAAAGTCTGAACATCAGAAGTGTGTTAAACCCTCATCTCACCTTTTCCGGGTGGCGCGTGTGAAAAACCTTCACCACCGATGCTCTTGTTCTGCCACCACTCATTCCTTGATAGAAAGCATTCTCACGTAACGGGATTGATTAGTTTTTAGTTGATTTTAAATCGATACGCTTCATCGAATAATAAAGCTGGAGGAACTTTAGCATGGGAGTGCAACTGGTTAGCACGCGCGCATGAAAACGGTGAAAGAGCGTTCGATTTCCGTCTGACGTTCACAGTTTGCGTATCACTCAGCGTCATCAACGTATCTATTTATGTATGTACGCATGCATATATATATATGCACATATATAATATATATATGTAATGTACGTATATACATATATATATATATATATATATATATATATATACGTGCGTATATGTATATTGCAATAGTACACCCCAGCTAATTAGCGGTTAAATAAAAAGATTTACAGTTACTCGCATTTGGTTTTGTTTGCGCTTATCAAGAGGTATAAGTAGAAGTGCGCTCTGCCAATGATCTATCGACATCGTCGCTTTAAGTGACGAACGACAGCGCCGGCGGTAATCTCCAATACTCAGATTTTTTTGATTTCTGTGATTCACACACTCTTGAATGTCTCCGATATTGGCAGCCTCTCCATTCTCTTCCTTCCTAGAAAAGTTTTGGCATCATTATTCAGTTAAAGGTCATCCACACTTATCTGAAAAGAATTACAATCTCAACAAAGACCCTGATTTTTTAATCTTCATGTAGAAGACCAAACTGATAATGTGCACATTGTACAACGTTCACTGAAATATTCCAAGCGACAGTGTCTCGTGTAATGGCTGTATATAACGGTAATCCTTCGAAAGAACTCACCAGCTTTCTTCGACTCTACTGCTTTGGCGATACTTTGTAATGACACTTCCATCTCTCTTCAAGCTCCCGTGTTGCTTTAGTCGACGAAGAAAAATTCGAAAGTACGTAAGCACTCCTGTATTTAATCTAAAGCTAGTAGACGGCCATCGTGAAGTTACTTGGCGAAATTTTTCGCTTAACTTTTCATAAAACCTCAATGGATTTCCATTCTTTTCCAAATAACTTTCTTAACGTCTTTCCCAAGAAGGATACGTAGTGCAGCGTCAGAGGTGCTCTGCGTCTCTTACAAAGTTGAAGGTTGGATCTCGCGCTCAGGCTCATCAAGCCATCGATTACCCGGGGCGGTAATTTGAGTACTTATATGTTCGGAAGAGACGGATGAATAATCAACCTCGTTCGCTGGACAAAAACTTTTCGTACTAAGTTTTCGTACTAAGTAACTTATTGGTAATAATTCGATAGCTTAATTCCCGGGCTAGCGCCATACATAAACCGTTTTCGATGAGACCCTTTTAAAACGAGTATTTTCTTCTGCTTAGCCGCTCCGATGTGCTAGTGATATTATTTATTCAATATCAGCAAAGCATACAGCAGTTAACAGTGAAGCATGAATATCACAATAGTCATGATGGCTAACACTTTGGGGGGTCGTCTTCTTCAGCGCCTGGAAGGATCAAACTGATCCAATCCACCAAGCGGAAACCTTCATAATTCCAGCGGAAAACCGAGAAGAGGAGTGCCTCGTGAACACGCGTGGCTTTGAACCATATCTCAGGCTGATCTTTTCGACCTGAGTTCGGCATTCCCCACTAATGCACTGATCTTAAGTGGCTGGTCTCCAATCATAGTTGGTTGACCTTAAACATCAAAACGGTTGGTGGTTTGAAATGAAGCTTTATTATGTAATCTAAAATTCATTTCTTACGTTTTTTGCTGAGATTATGAACGTTTAAGCTTAGTAGATTGTCGGTCAGATTCATCTTTCC